TTTTCTGCAAACTCTTCTGCACCATTCCTGCTTTCGCCTGCGAGACATATTTTTAAGATGATAATTTATTTTTTGACCAATATACCCAGTTACAATGGAAAGGTATACAAGAACAAACAAGTCTTACCCAGAGCACAAGTACAGCGGTAGTTAAGGCTATCTACAGCTTTGCATGAGCCACCGTTTTCACATGGACTAGGATCACAGGGGATGTACTGAGACTCGCAGTTCTGACCAGTGTACCCCACGTCGCACGTGCATCTGTTGAAAAAGAAAAAAAGTTACTCCAACACAGACATTAACTAGACAGCTTTAACCATTACTTCCTGCCCTGGTCAAACCAGTGGAAAGGATATTGTGAATTTGAATCGGTTTTCTTCTAACTAAAAAACAATTTTGTAGATTTCTGTAAAACCTCGCTTGAATATTATACATAGTGTTCCTTGTCTAATTCAGTATGTATAAACAGCATACGAGATGTAAGTATATGTAAAAGTAAAATGTACATTGCTGAAAGCAGAGAATATAGAGATCAGTTGATGCAGATCCTGATATATACTTTAAAATTATTTAGCAACAAGGATGAATGGTTACCGAATTGATCTTTAAAGTTTTCAGGTCATTTAGTGGTAAAACCAATTGGGAAACGATCGAACTAAATTCACGCTATACAATATTGTAATAGCCAGACGGGTTTATTTAACTGTTGGATTTACTAGCTTTTCGACAATTGATTTAACAGGTAGCTCCAACAAGGAATTTGTGAATTAAACGGTAATTTAACACGTTGGTTGCCACATAATAAAGTAAGTATAGACAAAATTAAACATCCAAAAAGTGCCGAGGAGCAGTTACAATGTCCCAAACTCATATGCCACAAGAGAAATTTGGCTTTGAAACAATTATCTGCGACCCTCCGGTGTGTGTCACGCGGTCCATAACCAAAAGTCGGTTGGACCCACCGGTGGGGCACATGGCAGCCAACGTGTTAAACTGTACATTAGCACCACGTTTGGGGATTTCAGGCTGGTTATGTATTAAAATATCCAAACTCTAGAACAACGAAATCTCCTCTTGTATGCAGTAACTACTGAAATAATTAGTTATTGGAAACTCACAATCTTACCACAAGGTATTGATTTTACAAATACTAAAGGACAGTGATTTAGGGTTGACGAATTAGTAATGTTATACCTCAACTTAGAACTGTAGTACTACTAATCATTATTATACAAAATACTATGAGGACGTTATAATGTACAGGCAATCCCACTGTTCGTTTATAACAACTCAACAGTTGGGTGGTAGGTAGCGTCGACTAGCTTCCTTCCCTCTAGTCTATCGCTTCTAAATTAGGAACAATCGTGTTGTGTTTTAAGAGCCCTGTAACCAACAAACTAATGAATCCACAATAAATTCTGTACAAAAATAGTTCCTAAAAACGTGTTTACACCTGACGAAGGTGCTCAAGTTTCGTATTTTTGTCTTTGAATTATTCTAGGAATAATACATTTTTCTTCGTTACTTACTTGTACGACCCCACAGTGTTCTTACATCCTCCGTGAACACAAGGGTCTTTGAGACACTCATCGATGTCCTGAGTGCACGTTTGTCCAGTAAATCCTTTTGCGCACGTGCAATGGTAGCCATCACGCAGGGATTCACACTGAGCATTGTTCCGGCATGGCTGGGAAGCACAGTGGTCGACCAGTTCACAGTGTTTACCTTGAAAACAACAACAACAAAAAAAAACACATGAAGGTTATTCTACAGAAAGTAAATTTACACATACACATAAAGCCGAAGTTTTTCACTTGGAAAGATACGAAACTAACAAATAAAAATTTGGAAAGATACGAAACTAACAAATAAAAATCAAACCTTTTTCTATTTTATAACATATAAAGAATGTACTAGATTTACTCTGAAAGTTTTTAAATATATTAATATGCTATTTGAATGATTTAAGACTGACAGTTATCTACGGTAAAGTCTTTTTTTCGAAATAAGAATTTTTAATCTCACGAAAGTTTTTAAAGTATTAAAAGTAAACACTTTACAAGACAAACTATATTACCATAAAATACTATTTCAATAATAATAAATAATGTTTTTTTTTCGATTATAAATTAATGTTGCTAGTTTGTTATTGTTTTACATACAACTAAATGCCAAATTGCTAAATAGTAAACGGATGATTCAACAATTTTTTTTCTGTATTTTATTTTCAAGTTCTGTTTTATTTTGAATAAGTACATACACCTTCTTATTCACAAAAACCTAAAACTATGTGACGCCAGTAACAACAAGGCTTGTATATTTATTGATATTTCAACATCAACACATTTGCTTTTTTGAAAAAGTTATTTTCGAATTTCATACACATTTTATAAAACTACGTTCGGCTTACCTCTATATCCGGTAGCGCATGTGCAAGTATAATTATTCAACGTAATCAGTGTGCAAGTCCCTCCGTTCTGACATGGGTCGCTATCACAACTGTTTGGAACAGCAATCTCGCATAAAGAGGCCGAGTAACCTACAGGACATGTGCACGAAAAGATGGGCCCACTAGTGGTACTCATCTCCACGTTACAGGTACCACCATTCTGGCATCGAGGACCGGGTCCGGTGTGACATGGATTTAAATGTTGACAGTATTCACCAACGTACATAGGTGGGCAACTAAAAGAGTTTAAAACAAAGAAACATTAGTCCTTAATGGATATATTAATATTCCATCTTTTGAACTCGTATAATTACAAACGCTTTGTCCATGAAGTTGGCACCCTGTGGTTGAGTACAACTACGGGAACTAACACTGGTCGTTAGTACTCATTTTAAGTCACTTATAGTGTCATTAGTTATATTTGTACACATGTTCAAAACAGATACAAGTTTAAATTTGGGGGCCAAATTTCACGTCGCTCCTCCCTCCTTAAAATTGACATCAATACTTTTGATAATTCCAGTGGTTCGTACTTGGTCTGTACTATAAATAAAACTGAAAAAGCTTTTTTTGGGGGGGGGGGCTTCATGCTAGCCCTTAAGGTTGAAATTAATAGTCCGTCGAATGCATTACCTTCAGCTGTGTTTCGCACTTCCAGAAAGTCGGGAAACCCATGAGTGGAAGCAAAGGGGAGTTCGTTATAACACGTAAACCACGCTACCATATATCCAAATGATCACTCTGATATGGTCAAACAGCATTAAAAATATAACAGTGACCCCTACAAGTTTGTTTGTTTGTCTGTCTTGTGCTAAGCAAAAAGTTATCTGTGCTCTGTCCACCACGAGTATCAAAACCCGATTTTAAGCATTACAAGTTAAAGTCACTAGGAAGGCTTCCTATATGGAATGCATTTTAAGAAATTAGTATATTAAAATGCACGTTCCATTTACATTTTATCCTTTGTTTACGTAAGTCTCTACATAATCAATATCTGTATGTTGTTTGTTTGTTTTTTTAAACATGGGGACAATATATCAAATAACTGTATGTGTTTTCACTATTAATGGTATAAAA